AGTTATTAAAATAGTATTTATTTACTATCTTTTCATACATGTTTGATACCTATATCGTTGAAATTGGGGAAGAAATAGCAATTTGAAAACTGCACATTTTATTATGTTTCTTGCAAATTTCGGAAATTATATATGTGGTATGCAGATCATTAATATTAAAAAAAATTTACATATACCAATCAATATATGACATTAATTAGTTTTGATTTTCTTAGAATGTCGCACATCCCAACCCATTGAGTATAATAATAAATAAAAATGCCCATACAATCTTGTAAATCGTTTCCTAAGCAAAAATATTAAATAAATTTTTTTTTAATAAAATAAAAAGGAAAAAGAAATATGACAGCGTTTTATGATCTTGAATGTCTTGATAATAAGAACCAACCTTTTAAATTCGAGGAATTAAAAGGAAAATTTGTATTAATTGTTAATACTGCATCAAAATGTGGTTTCACTCCTCAATATCATGGTCTTGAAAAACTTTATCAACAATTTAAAGATCAAGGTTTCGTTGTATTGGGGTTTCCTTGCAATCAATTTGGTAGCCAAGAACCTGGAACCAATGAAGGTAATGTATATATACATATATTGTATTTGTATTTTTATTATTTTTATTTTTATTATAAAGAAATCGTCTTTTAAAAAATATAATTATTTTTTAGAAATTATTGAATTTTGCTCAATGAATAAAGTTAGCTTCCCAATAATGTCAAAAGTTGATGTAAATGGTGATAACGCACATCCTGTATACAAATATTTAAAGTCACAAAAATCTGGTATTGCAGGAATAAAAGCAATCAAATGGAATTTTGAAAAATTTTTAATTGATAAAAATGGAAATGTTGTTTCAAGATATTCTTCCATCACAAAGGTTTGAAAGTTTTTGCCTTTTTTTATTTTACTTGATAATTTATTTTAAATCTAATTATATTATGCAATAATTAGCCTGAAGATTTGCAAAAAGAAATTGAAAAGTCCTTGAAATCATAATTGTATTCTTGGAAAAAAAATCACCCAATACAAATAAAATATTATATAAATTTTAAATATACTCATAATTTGTTTCTTACATAAAAATTTTTTGAAATCAAATATTTACAGTTCACTAGCTCTTCTTTATGATGTGATACCTTTTTTACATAATTAAGGGATATGCATCTGAAACAATATCCAATCCAATTGTTTTTTGCTCAATGTTGGCATTTGGCCATTTGGTTGTAGCTGTTTTGGCTAATAAAATAGATATGACAATTTATATCAAAGTCATTAAAATTTTGGCCAATTGACTAATTACGAATATATATATATTCAAAATGTCCTTTGAATAAATTGATTTTCAAAAAATTTGATTTTCGGATTAGGAACACTGGTCACAGCAGTTGATTAATATTTCCTTTTAAAGCTGAATTGGGGCTTGTTTTTAAAATCCAACACGTGGATCACATGATACTTCAAATTTTTGAGTTGCTGGATAAATTTTTTTTACATTTTTTACGCGTTTTAATTAATGAAAAGTTCAAAGACTTCTTCGCCTGTCAATAAAAATGTTCAAATCGCTAATACACCTAAAACATCATCACCGTTGGTCAATAGTGTTAGTGGTAGTACTCCACTTGTTTCAAAATCCATATCTCCATCCCCCTTTCCATA